GGGGGCGGCGGGCAGGACTCTCAGCCCCATATCAGCCTGGACTATTTCTGCCCAAACTCCAGGCTTCTTGGCTACCAACATTTTTGGGAAGCCCATCTGTCCAAGCCTGCAGAGAAGGAACTCACTCTTGGGACTGTTGACCTTGGATCCCTCTGCTGTCCTAGACACTTAATCCCTTTCACAATTCCTCGGCTGGGAAGGAAGAGATCTCTGGCATGGGGTCCAGCAGGAGGAAAGGTACAGTGACAGGCAATTATAGAGAAGGGATGGAATCCAGTTGGCTAGTGCTATGTGGGAGGAGGTGGCAGAGGTCCTTGAATGCCAGGGCCAGGAAAGGGCCTCTTCATGTGGGCTTTGTGAAGCCTTGGAAAAACTTTAAGTGGGAGATGTGGTGAAATATGTTGTGCTTTATCAGGGTCACCCTGGCCTGATTGTGGGGGCTGGACTGGAAGGAGGCTGGCAGCAGGGAGACCAAAGACAAGGTGGCTAGACAAGGCTGAGGACAGAACCAGTTAGGGGTGCAGGTGGCAATGGAGTCAAGAGAATGATGAGGTAGACTCAACAGGGCCTGGGGGCCAGACTGGGAGTGAGCACAAGAAAGCAGGAGTCATTGAGGACAAACCAACCCAGGTTGGTTTCTGACCTGCCCAGGGGACTTTGATGGCAGAAGGGCCCTGAAAAGTAAGAAGCCGTGGTAGCCAATATCATAATCAGAAGAACCACAGATGAGCAGGAAGACCTCTCCATATAGTCCCTCTGGGCTCAGAGACCTCAGTCATAAGGGGGAGGGAGTGGCTTCAAATCCCAGACCCACTGATAACTCTCCTCTGGAGCCTCCATTTTCCATCTACAATATGGGGAAGCACACTGCTCTCTTGAAGCCCTCCTACCCCATGTGAGGAAAGTAGAGGCTCCCCATGGTTCCAGGGTGTTTGTAAGGTTGATGCCATTAACCCCACAGAAGCCTTTAGAGAAGGCGCAGTGTGAACGTGTGACCTGGGGCCATTCCGGCCCAACTCTGGGCCTCAGAGTTCCATTTGTACAATGGAATCCAATCAGATGTCTCTGAGACCTTGTTCTATAGTCCCATTGCCCTCTCTCCGCCCAGTCCGCTCAGGGGCCCCTCCCAGGAAGCGGCACCCCCACCTCCAGATCTGCAGGCTGGGGTGGGGCCTTCAAAGGGCAAATGCTCTGCTACCAATCAGACACGCCTCCCTGGGGGTGGGCAGGAGCCCCCTTGAAGGGCAACTCACTCCTCAGGAAACACCACGGCCTCATTCTTGATCTTCCTATGCAGGGCCAGGATGTAATCATCGATGAATGGGCACTGTTGGGTGGAGAAGCAGACAAAGGATGCAGGCCCAGGGCCTCAACTTGCCCTGGGGGACTGACCCCATCTCTTGGTGTGGCCAGAGTTGGGGGGGCAGCTCTGGGCTCCTTAAGATGGGAGAAACCTTGTCTAACTTGTTCAGGGCCCGGCCCACAGTAGGTGCTCAACAAACACTGACTGAACAAATGAGTCCTTGAGGGAACTATGAGGCTGGATGTGCCCACTGGCCTTATGACCACCTGCAGAACGGCCTCCACTCCCAGGGCTTGGAGTTTGCGAACACACTCACTGAGGTTCCCTCCTGCCTCTCAGTGCAGTCACTAGACGGGGAGCACCTGTGGACAGCGATTTCCGCTAAGTCAGTGTCGAGGGTTCTCAAGGCCCGGCCTGACCCAGAGCAAAAGGCAAGGACAATTTGTAGAACGAATGAGTGAATGAGTGAATGTGTGAATGAATGAAAGAATGAATGGCATCAAGGGCCAGAAGGACAGGGAGAGCCCTGGCGGCGAGGTGGCCACACCACCATCTACACCTCCCACTGGGATGTCTTCTCTCCTGGAGCTCCTTCACGTGAATCTCCTCCCAAGGGTCGGGAGAAAACAGAAAAAAGCTTTTCCCTCAGTCCTCTCTGAGCCAGGTGGGCCCTTTCAAAAGTCGCTTCACTTTAGGACACAAAGGAAGGGCCTGCAGCTGTCATTCATCCTGCTTCAGCTTGGCCCAGCCCATGGTGCCAAGGGACTGGGCCCGCCCAGCTCCACCAGCCCACCCAACACTCACCTTGCCGTAGACAAAGCAGTATAACGTGACCCCGGTGGCCCACACATCCAAGGCCTAGGAAGAAACAGCTCCTATCAGTCCCCCAAAACGAACCAACACCCCTCCCTCACCTAGCTCACATGGGCTGTGGGAGAGGGCATATTGGGGAACTCCTTCCTCAGTCATGTAGTCACTCAACAAGTAACTCCCACTCACTTGTTCTATGCCTGACCCTATGCTGAGCACTAGGGACACAGGGATGACCAGAACAGGGCCCCTACCTCTCAGGGTTTCCAAGTCCCCTTGTAACAGACCCAAACCAGATACATTTCTAACTCAACAGATGCAAAACTACCTTTACCTACAGGGTCACATTTCCTGTACCCACGGTGCACCCCAGAAACCATCGTATGTACTAAACTTAGACTCACTAAATCAGCTCATCATCCGTTTTCCTGATGATCCACTGGAGAAGTCACCATCTACCTTCTTTCTGCCACCAGAAACAGTCCCTGCCCATACCAAGGCCCTGGCCTTCGGTCACCTCCACAGCTCCTCACAGCTCCCCCATATCCTGGGCTCTAACATGTGCTCTCTCTACATTTTCCCCTTCTGGAACCCCATCTCCTCTCCTGGTTTCCACTTTCTCTCATATGTGAATGAGTCTCCAATGTCTACTTACATATTCCTGGCACAGTTGCCTCATCTAAATCCAACCAGGGAACCAGGGAACACCAGACAAACGCAAACTGACATCATTCCATAAAGTAACAGGACTGTTCTCTTCAAAAATGTCAAGGTCAGAATAGACAAAGAAAGGCTGAGGAAATCCTCCAGATTAAAGGACAAAGAGATGTGACAACTGAATGTTGTGACTAACCCTGGGTCAGATCTTGGACCAAAAAAACGGGGGGGGG